GAGAAGATATGCACCCACAAAATGAGGCAAGTGTATTTTTTTTTCTAGTCCTTCTACATGCATCTGACTTAAGTATATTCTCTAGAGTGGTGAAACTTAGAATAAGATGGCAAGAGGAGAGATTTCAAGAAATAGATTAGGAGACTGTCAAGTCCCAGCTCTGCAGATCAGACTGAAGAAGAGAGGAGTCTGAGGCAGCTATTGAATCCAAGTACTTTACAGGCGGACTCAGACAACTGGCTTTAGGAGTATGGCAAATTCATCTTTGGCCTTCAGAGCAACTGGTGGGTTAGAATTGCCTGCCTTTGTATTGGCAGTGCAATTGACAAAGCACTTCTGGTATTAATCATACCCAGACCAAGCTGCTCCCTGAAGGCAAGGATTTTGAAGCTCCATCTCACATACTTTTGACACAAGGCCAGCAGGGATCAGTCCTTGGAAAAGACAGTCAGGGCAGGAGAGGAAGACCCAGAATGAGATGGATTGACTCAGTGTCTGGTACAATGAGATTAGGTCTGTTGGAGACCTTGAGATTGGTTCAGGATCCGGCAGGGAGGGTTTCTTCTATTCAACAGAGGGATGCTGTAAATCAGAGCCTACCTAAATACCTAACAGCACCTAACAAACTTAAGGGAAAGGGCTTGAATGCTAAGAGGCAATACTAAGACAAGAAATATAATCACTGTTGTGCTGCACGCTCGAGCCTGGCTAGGTAACGGAGACCGAGGAAAGCGCCGGAGTAAAGCTGATAAACTCCCGTAGTGGGTAGCTGGGCGTGTCTGTGGGCCTACGTGGCAATCAGCAGCTCTGCGGGATTTGTGACACTGATTTGGAGCCCCCCGCCCCCAGGCGGAGCGTGGCGTAGGCGGAGCGTGGCGTAGGCGGAACGCGGAAGTGACGGGTCCTGGCTCCTCCTCCGGACGGAGTTTTAAGAGGACCGGTGAGCCGGCGGCGGACGCTCCAACACCTATCTCATCGAGCAAGGAGGTGGCAGCTCGGTCGGTCGGAGTTGGGCCGGTTGGAGCCAAACTGGCTGTAGGAGGAAAAGAAGAAAGACGCTGCGCAGCCTGCACTTCCACCTCCATCGTTTCCCTTCAAGTTAGGCGGCTCCAACTCATCCTCACAGGCTTCCAGCTTCTCAGCCAAGATTAGTGGTGAAGTGGCCTCCGCGGAAGCGGAGTCCCGCCTCTCCGTCACCGCTCTAGGACCTGAGAGGGGAGCTCCTGAGGATTTTCCTCCGAACTAGGAGAGAACGCTAACTGCTGGCGAGATCGGCAGCTCTCAAAAAAGGTACAAATAGTTGGAGGATGGATACCACTGCAAATGTTAAAAGCAGGTCGAAAGGAAGATAAAGAAAGGCTATTTCAGAATGAATCAGTCTAGTTTGAGAGCAGAGGATGGCAGTGAACAAGCCACAATGCAAGATCATAATCATCGTGACAGCGAGAGAAGGTGGCAGCAGGAGCGACTCCACAGAGAAG